TGCTCTTAGGAACCTTAAGTGCAGCAGAAATTTTTTTGTAACCTTGGCCAGATCTGTGCCTTGCCACAATTCTGTCTCTGAGCTCTTCAGGCAGTTCCTTTGACCTCATGATTCTCATTTGCTCTGACATGCACTGTGAGCTGTAAGGTCTTATATAGACAGGTGTGTGGCTTTCCTAATCAAGTCCAATCAGTATAATCAAACACAGCTGGACTCAAATGAAGGTGTAGAACCATCTCAAGGATGATCAGAAGAAATGGACAGCACCTGAGTTAAATATATGAGTGTCACAGCAAAGGGTCTGAATACTTAGGACCATGTGATATTTCAGTTTTTCTTTTTTAATAAATCTGCAAAAATGTCAACAATTCTGTGTTTTTCTGTCAATATGGGGTGCTTTGTGTACATTAATGAGGAAAAAAATTAACTTAAATGATTTTAGCAAATGGCTGCAATATAACAAAGAGTGAAAAATTGAAGGTGGTCTGAATACTTTCCGTACCCACTGTATGTGAGCGCGCGAGGTGCCGGCGCGATTGAACAGCTGAAACATAAAATACATCATTTTTGATCATGCAGATAAGAGTAAGACATAATTCGAAAGCACAAAGTGTTTATATGCACGTTTAATTAAAACTGTTACATATTTAAGTCAGATATTTTTCGCATATTTATACCCATACTATGATTGAATTTTATTTTTATGAAAACAAATTTTGTTATTTTTAATGCATCTTAGATATTCATTTTCCTAAAATCATCCTGGCAACCCATTTTTGACCCAGAGTTTGAAGCTGTGCCCTAATAATCAATTAATGCAGTTAATGCAGAAACTTGTGAACAATGCTCTCTTATAGGCATGGGCCGGTATGAGATTTTGACGGTATGATAACCTTAAGCAACAATATCACGGTTTCACGGTATCACGGTATTGTCGTTACAGCTCTAAAATGTGTTATTTTTAAATGACTGTTCTGTTCTGATCTGTTCTGCTGAACGCAATATATTTTATTTTTGAGCAACATACAGAATATTAGGAACAGTAGAATGTTTACAATATATTTTGTTTTTGAGCAACATACAGAATATTAGGAACAGTAGAATGTTTATTTTTTCTTTGATTTGTTTCCTAAAACGAAGAAAAATAAAGACTGACATCTTTATATAACCTAAATCTGTAATTACAGTTATTTAATTTAAGTTCTATAATTCATATACATATCATTTATATCATTTCATATAATTTAGTTATATAATTTCATATACATAATTTGATTTAATAATAACCCAATTTGAAGCAAAAACAGAATGTTCTGACTAGCTTTGTGAAATTATACTACATGCCTGAACGAAACAAACAACAGGAGCTCTGAATGAGACGCAGAGTCTCTCTCTGACAGCAGGAGGCGCTTCTGGAACACCAGATACGGTGTTTCCTTGGTTACCGCTGTAAACAAAGCAACACTGCGCTGAAACACTGCTTTAATATGAACTATACAGAGACGAGATGAAAAGAAAATACCACGTAAACTTTTCTGAAGACAGTCAGTTCCCCTCAGAAACACATTCATATAAACCCCCAAATCAATATTGAGGATTTTCTTCCAATAGTTCGTGCATCATGAACAGTGAGTGATCTGCCTGCTACAGTATTTTTCTCTGTGCGTCCGTCTTCAGCGTCTCTGGCCTGTGTTAACGGGCGTTTACAGACTTCATATTTTCACATAAATTACATTTTGGAAAAAGATTGCATTGCAACGCAGTTTGTGCAAGTCCAGAAAAGAGACGAGTTGCAATAAGACAAAAAACGTCCGGTTGCCAATCACGTAAGTTCCAGGGGCAGCTCCTTAAAAGTTCGGCCATCCTACACACACGTGACTGACCGCTCGCTCGCACCAACGGGGAGGAGGGTCATGTTACTCTCTACACTGCACTCAACCTGAGGGATTCCTACACTTTCAGTCTTTGAGGAGACATGAACAACAGCGCATACCGCAGGAACGGTATAACGGAAAATATTAGTGGTTCTGAAACCGTGACATTTTCAAATCGCGGTATACCTTGAAACCGGTAATCGGCCCATGCCTATTGTCTTATAATTGTGGCATCACCGTTTAGTGACGTCATTGAATGTTCTGGGAAAACTGAAGTTGTATTTTCAGTGTCGGTCACAGCGCCTTTTAATTGCTGTTTTGGATCTGGCAATTATTCATTTACAAATTAAGCACTGCCTGTAGCCCTGTAGTCAGTCATAAGAAAACACGATGGAATTTGAAGGCAGTCATTATTACGTTGATCATGACAAAAAAAGGCTCTTTATGTAGACAGTTGGCCTCTCATCCATGAATGACATAGTTTTGAAAAATTCATTAAATATATGATAGGGTTAAAACAATAGATGTACAGTTCAAAATGAGCTGCCAGCTGTCAGTGGTTGAACTACACCAGTGGTTACGACACCTGCGTGAACTTCATACATAACAATCACTTTGAGATCTTCTGATCAAAACTCATTTAAAAAATGTCTCAGAAACGTGAAGTTTGTTCTGAGTAAAGATCCTGAGCTTTTATTTGAAGATGCCACTTGGTTTGATATTTAGGTGTAGCTTCACGTTCTGTCCTTTCTTGTCTACAGGTATATGAAGTACCTCTATCCATATGAATGTGAAAAGCGGGGATTGAGCTCTCCCGGTGAGCTTCAGGCAGCTATCGATAGCAACCGTCGTGAAGGGCGGAGACAGAGTTATGGCTCCACCCTCTTCAGCTACTCCCCCGTGGGAACCCCCACACTGCTGGCTTCCCCCAAACTCCAGATGCCCCACATCAGCATGCCCACTCCTAACGGTGGGCACATGACTCAGACCACTGTTATCAAGAAAGGTTTGTGTTTGTATTTCCCTTTGTCACAACCTATTTCTGGAACTGCTTAAAAAAAATCTATGTTAAAATACTTAAATATTAAGATTAGGGATGTGCGCGACGACTAATTTGACTGACGTTTAAACGAAAGTTTTGTATCCGACTAGTCGACTAGTCTAAAAGCAAGAAACCCCCAAAAGATAGTAAGAAAAAAAACCTCTGTGCATGCGTGTAGCATATATAATAGCCTATATTTGAAATACTTAATCTATGAATCACACTGTCAAATTCCTCAATGAATTCCGCTTGCCGCACACTTGCCTCGCGTTATCATCATTTCATTTTAGGCGGTCGTGAGACGCGCAAGATGGCGCCGTGAGCACAGGTGTTGAGTTATAGCGCCCATCAACAAAGTTAAATCTGAGCAATAAAACGGACATTTCTTTATCAGTTTACGTTTTAACTGGATGCTTAGTGCTACTCGTGCACCATAGTTTGTTCTGAAACATGTCAGCTGATAAGAAAAGAAAGAATTCTGCTACGAAGAAGAAAGAAATGGCTGCTGACACGGAGATGACAGCTAACTCTGCTGCTGCCTGCAACGTTTTAATTGACAGTTGTCACGACTACTATGGGCCTGAAGAGAAGATGGAATTTTCGATGTTGTCAGTAGAAGATTTCCCCTCGCTTCCTTCTACTCCTCTGAAGCCTCCCTCCAAAAAAGGCCGTGGTGAGTCCGCTGACGACATTATCACGAAACTTTCTAAGCTAATCAACATGAGGTCTGATAAACTGGAGTCAATGGTTGCGGCGAATACTTCTCACATTGCTGGTTTGAAAGAAAAGCTTAACTCCGTATGTGAAGATGTGAATGAGGTGAAGACCAAAGTTTCCCAGGTCGAGTCTTCGCTTTTGAAGGAGAGTAATCGAATCGGCGTCTTGGAGTCACGCATCACTGAATTGGAACGGTACTCTAGACGCTGGAATTTGAAATTACACGGCGTGCCAGAAAACATGGATGAGAAAAATGTGAGGAAAGAAGTGATTCGCATCTGTCAGAAATTACTGCCAGAACACAGTGATCGTCTTCCGGATGTGATTGACACAGTGCATCGCGTTGGTATGAAGAAAGTGAATTCTGCCCACGGTATAATCATTCAGTTCTCCTCGCGTACACTCAGAGCAGCGGTATGGGCGGCAGCCAAAAATTCCGCATTTCTACGGGAAAATGGTCTGCGTTTCAGAGAGGATCTCTGTAAGGCCGACAGAGAAAGCAGGTTGAAGTTGTGGCCGCTAGTAGATGAGGCACGGAAAGCAGGGAAAATTGCCTATTTTGTAGCTGGTCGTGCCTTCGTGGAGAAAAAGGAGATTTTTCCATCAGGCTGATTGATCCATTTTTTTGTTTCCTCCTGTTTATATATGTGTGTACACACACATATATGTGTGTTCTTGGCTTCTTTTTTGACCAGGACTATATGTTCATGTTATGAGTCGATGGCCAAAAGTTTCGTCCGTTTATGGCCAAAGCAGTCATAGTTGATGTAGCGCTATGTTCTCACCACAGTTAGTAGCTGTCTTTAAGCTTCTGTTCTAAGGAACTTGTTCAAGTGACTTCTTTTTTTCTTTTTTTTTATTATTATTTTACTATGTTATTTTGATGTCTTTATCAATAACTAATTGATGGATGTCTAAAATATAAAAATAAGGAGAAGCCTAAAACAGGCCCGAGGCCCGGCCCGCGTCTGAATTATGACGTGGAAATTGTCCCGAAGCTCAGCCCGAGGGGCGTAAAAAAGTTAGCGGCCCGTCGGGCCTGAGCTATTTTTCAAACGTTTTATTTTAACTTGTTATTTAAAATATTTTAAATGCAATGTTAAAATGACGGTAATTTTAATGATAAAATCATGTTTTTTTTCTGTCGTGTAATCGACTATTGTTTTCAGTGTCGACTAGTAGGAGCTGTACCGTTTAGTCGACTAGTCGACTAGACCCGCACATCCCTAATTAAGATACATTTTAATACACAGCTGAACATACAACATTTTACCTCCCTTGCACAATAATTCTTTGCTGTATTGATAAAATAAAATAGACTACAATGAGAAATAGATAAAATAATAAAAATGAAAATGTAATTATGTAGAAGTATTCTATTGATGGTTGATTTTTGAAAAGAAAGCGAAAGAAAAGTGTTATTCCTTATCAGGAAATTGAATGTTATTTCAGACCATGTTAATTACAACCTAGATCCTCCAAAGAAGAAGTTATCTCTCTTACACAATAACACTGCCACATCTTACTCACGCTTATTCCACGCAGTGGTCTGAATGGTCATCAGAGCAGACAGGAAACAGCTTGCAGGACTTCCTCTTGCCCACTCTGCCAGTTTCCACATCACAGCAGCAGGAGCAATGAAACACAAAGAGACATGGGCTGCTTCATGATTCAGTAATGTGCCCATATGGAAAAAGACAAGTCACGCAACTTTAAGGATCAAAGAGCCTTACGAATCTGACAGTATTTATAGTGTTTACGAAGCAGCTTTAAATAGATGTCATGCCTTGTGTTTCATACTCATACTTCCCTGTGAGGATGTTGTTGCAGCGTATTGCTAAACCTAAATTTGTTGAATAAAATGCTGCATTCAGATTATTGAATAACTTCCTTTTCATTTGCAAAACCATTTTACAATATAAAATTTTGATTTTAAAATGTTGATTTTAAGTGAATCAGGTCCACAGTATTAAAACTAATGTCAGATAAGTAAAATAAAATATGAAAAAAAGAATAAAATACACTAACCGTTCAAAACGTTGAAAAATTTGGGGTGAGTGAGATTTTTTTTTTTTTAAGAAATGTTTTTATTCAGGAAGGATGCATTAAATTGATCAAAAGTGATAGTGAGGACATTTATAATGGTACAAAATATTTCTGTTTCAAATAAATGCTGTTCTTTTGAACTTTCTAGTCATCAAAAATTATTACTCATCATTTATAATAATAAGAAATGTTTCTTGAACAGCAATTCAGCATTTTAGAATGGTTCCTGAAGGATCATGCGGCACTGACTGAAGACTAGAGTAATGACTGCTGAAAATTCAATTTTGCCATCACAGGATTAAATGGCATTTTACAATATATTAAAATCAAACAGTTCTTTTTTTTATTATAATAATATTTCAGTTTTTATTCAAAAATATGAAGAAAAAAACATTAAATTAATCAACTCATAACAATGAGTAAGTCATAATTTTAAAGATTGTGTTACATTCATTTGTGATAAAGGGCTTCTGTTTTCATGTTATGCTGTTTTGCTTTACTGTTTGTAAGTGTTCCGTGTTGCAAAATTAACCATAAACTATGGGTAAATCGTCCACTACTTAAAATAGTAGGAAATTGTTTAAAGTTGACAGTTTTTCCAAGATTTGGGATGTTAGATGGTCCACTCTTTTTGTTTTGTTGTTAAAGTGTTCTGTCACCTAAAAAATGTTACTGTAGTACTGCCTTACACACAGACTTCATGATGCTTTCTTGCTCCACAGAGGACTCCATGCTGTCCAGCTGCCTGACTAACAGGGTGGGCATCCCTGTGTCTTTGGCCAGCCACCACAGTGCAGCTCAGGCGGCTGCGGTACAAGCTGCAGCAGCTGTGCAGGCGGCCGCATTGGAGCAGCTCCGGGAGAAGCTGGAGTCTGGAGAGCCACCGGAGAAGAAAGTGATGCTGATGGCAGCGGAGCAGCAGAGAATAATGCAACATGCATTACAGCAGAATCTCTTCGCCATGGCAACCCAGCTACCCATGAACATCAAACTGAACAATAGAGGTGGGTGCAAGGAATGCAAAGATGGTTCTCATATATGTTTGTTCGGTATATGCTTTCACAAAAATCTCTTTATTGTAATTTACTCTTTTTTTACTTTTTAAGGCTCAAACGTAAAGAAAAAGTTCACCCAAAACTGAAAATTCATTTACTCACCCTCAAGTTGTTCCAAACCTGTTTGAATTTCTTTCTTTCTTTCTTTTAAACATAAAAGGTATTTTTAAGTTTCTGGTCCCCATTGACTTCCATAGTATATTTTTCCATAACAGCAACTTGAAAGATGAATGAATTGGCAGCAGTTTGTAGACTTGTGTATAAATATAATATAAATGGCAGTAAAGTAAAGTGTTTCTCTAGAATGAACTATAAAGTCAGTAGTGCGATGAGAGAGGGCATTGTGGATCAGATAATGTAGATTCGGGTAGAGAAGTTTATCATAAATACTAGCCAACGGCAGCTCGTTTGACTGCCATACAAAACATGACAAAACATTAGCCTTCTAATTTTTCCCTTATCAAACTGAAGGTTTGAAGGAAAATAATTTTAGTAAGGAAACATTTGTTTTTATTTTATTTTATTTCAGTATATTATGATCAGTGTCATCGGTGAGAGAATAACTGTCAAAACAATACTGAAAGAATTTAGGACAAACATTTTATTTCTGAATATGAGTTATGAATAATTGTTTATGAATGATGAATATTCTTGTTATTTTATAAAACTATAACAAATTGCTTTTGTGACAGTGAATGGTTAAGAGTTAATGAGACATTCTGAAAAAAATAAAACATAATTAAGTGTAAATGAATGGTGAAACTGATGAAGAAAAGTGATTTCTATCGAGCCGTTTGTCTAATTTTAATGATTCAGTGCACATTCATTCAGGCTGGTCATGAGCAATGTTTTGTTGTCTTCTGCATGACTGTTACTCTTATACCACCCATAAAAAAGAGCCTCTTTATATGGTGGGACAATGTAGCATAATTCTATAATGCTGGGCAGGACTTTCACACAGAAACACTGCAATTTAAAGATTATATTAAATGTTATTTTGTGTTAACTTGCAAACAGATATCCAAAGTAATGAAAGAGTGAAAACCGAAAGTGCCGACAGTCGCTGGCTTCTTGGAAATATGAACCCTCATGTGTTATTTATCCCTTTTTTTTTTGGTAAAAAAAAAAGTGTGTAATGTTAACAGTTTACTAGCAGTGAAGAAATGTTTTATTTATGATACAGGCGCCCCGTGCAATTCTCTACCTAGAGAAGTGAAAGCCCCCCCCCCCGACTCTTTTAATAAACCCCTCCTTATCCTGTCACTCATGAGTTATCACCGATAGTTGGTGGCAATCTTCTCTTGCTTCTTGTGTTCCTTTTATAAATGCTCATATTGAGTTTTTCTCTTCCTCACTCTCTGGCTCCTCTCTTGACAGATGATAGACAAGAGACTGCATTGAACCTGTCTACCGATGGTATTAGCAGCATCAACATGTCAATAGAAATAAATGGGGTTGTCTACACAGGTAAATAGAGCGCCGTTTGCTGATGTAATTGCAGGCAGGAAATTCAATAAGATATAGCAGCACCCCCTCGCTTAGTCCTCCACACAATTTGATGTCTTTGCTATAAAATCCATCGTAATGAAGTGGCAAGTCCAATAGAGTTAAAAAAGTCAAATATCTTCAAATTGGGCCTGGGCGCCAGGAGGTCGATGGAGCTTATTGTCTTTCGTGCCCAAGAGAAAGGTCCTCCTCCTTAGCTAGATACAGTGCTTGTGCCTGATGTGCGAGTGACAGTAATTACTAGAAGATGGCTCATAAGCTTGCTGGGAACATTTCAGGAGATCAAGTTGAAGTGGCATCGGATTTACCATTTCTACTGAAGGTTTGTTCCCTGTAAAGTTGTAGAGCCCTAGAACATAGAGCTTTGAAGGTTTTTTCTAGGGAGGATGATTTAATGCTTTAGTTTAACGTAATTAATTATATAAGAAATCGTAAAATAAAAACAATGAATTTACTTGCTTTGTTCATACTCTTTGCTTTGTATATCATGTTAAAAACCTCAAATAAAATATATAAACAAAAATGTGTTTAATCACATCCTTGCCAAGTCACACTGAGTTGTAGCACAGAATGAGAAAAGGGCAGTTTGCACAGGATGCATTTTTGTGTGTAAAAAGAGACAGAGCAGAAATCTATCTTAGATTCGGAAGATATTCTCCGAAAATTTTAGATATATGTGATTAATTTGATTTACGAGAATTTCACGCAATTTATTTAAAGGGGTCAAATGATGCTGCTAAAAAGAACATTATTTTGTGTATTTGGTGTAATGAAATGTGTTTATGCAGTTTAAGGTTAAAAAAACACATTATTTTCCACATGCTGTACATTATTGTTTCTCCTCTATGCCCCGCCTTTCTGAAGCGCGTCGATTTTTACAAAGCTCATCGGTCTGAAAAGCGAGGTGTGCTCTGATTGGCCAGCTATCTAGTGCGTTGTGATTGGCCGAATACCTCAAGCGTGTGACGGAAATGTTACGCCCCTTGCCATATTGTGATGCCCTGTCCGGCCGGAGCGACGAGACATAAACATTAATTCTTTCTTTGCGTGAACATTTGGGCGGCGTTATGCAAATCTTCCCACATCGTGACGTAGATATGTGGGGGCGTGTTAGAACGAGCCGTTTTAGGTAGGTGTGGTTGACTCTTAACTTTTATAAAGAATATCTCTTTGGATTTGAGACTTTAACTTTACAGATCTTCTTTATGCACCAAGAGCTTGTAACACTCGAAAGAGAAAGGAAAAATTGAAATCGCATCATATTACCCCTTTAAATAAAATATATAATTAACTCTCTTCATATCCTTTCAAAATCTTAGTGTTTCTTTAGTCCGCATCTTCACATTTTTCATGTGGATTTTAACAAAATTCAGATACTTAGTCAATATACAGACATCAGGTATTTCGGGTACTGCATCTCCGGTATTGTGCAAATGAAAAAAGGTCACCAAAATATAGGGACGGCTTGCGCAAGGGGGTGTTGATCACGTACAAAACATAGTTGAACTTGTTTTTGTTTTTTTGACTATGTTATTATTTATATTATTATTGACTGTGATATAATTATTGCATGAAATTATGTATAATCATAATATTTATTGCATAAGAATATTTTTAATTGCACTTAAATGTTTTTAATAAATATATACAAACTGATTCAGTGACTGAACCGCTGGTGTTGTGTTATGTAGTGGTGTTTTGGGTGTTCATAAACTTTAAATATGTGTCTTCTGACTCCAGGGGTCCTGTTTGCCCGTAAGCCAGCCATAGGTTTCATGCCAGGCAGCCAGCGAGTCCATCACCAACACAGCTCACAGGGAAAG